CACACAGCAAGGGTGAACTGCTCATTTGTGTCTAGGTTTAAAAACAAAAAGGTAGACTCACCTGAACTGCCGAGCCGACTTCCTGCTTCTCTGGTCACTGAAGCGTGTCTCCTCTTCTGCTGCACAGATGTTATGTTCCTCAGCATTCTCACGTCTCTCTATATAGAGTGTGATGTCTCAAGGATTCTTAGATTGCTGCAGAGGAGGGGGAAGAGAGGCTCTAGGGACCAGACCAAGAACAAGCCGGCTAGAATGATCAGGTGAGTTAAACAAAACGAGCACTTAACCCTTGCAGTGCGGGGGTAGCTCCGAGAGAGGTGGGGACGTTCACCCGGCGGGTCCCCTCCTCTCTCCTGACACTGTCGGGCTCTCGGTCCATGACCGAGTGTCCAACTTTTTAGAGGGGATGACATCAAAATGACTGTCAACTATTTTGGTGTCCTCCTTCGAATGGTATCACCCGGGTGCGGGCCGCACCCCCATTGTGACGCCACTGCTGCAAGGCTTAATACTATTTTTCCTGAAGTTCTTCTATAAAGGTGGGCTAGGAGCGTAAGACATTCTGCATAATTTCCACTTACTCTGCCTTGTGATAAGGCAAGCTTGGTACTAGTGTTCTATTAGACCGGGTTGGAGATCACTATATTCGTACTGTAAATGTTTGCCCATTAAACAGGATCCATTACAAACATAAACAAAGTAACAGGTTTAAGATGTAAACCTAATTTAATTTTTGTCATGGGAATAATATGGTAATAGCTATTATGTGGGATGTTTCAAATTGGTGCAACAATACATCAAAAGATTGCTAAGCCCATATGTTTAAGGGATTTTCTTTATCTTCTGAATCTCTCTTCCTCTTTTTCCTGTATAGGATTACTGTTGGTGTTGTTGCCATACACCTGACACTTGAATCTGATCTTCAAAAAACATATCACTCTTCTAATCTTTATGGATAATCAAGAAACTTTTTAACTCTACCTTTGATCAGAGAAAACAACTCAGTGTGCTAAATTGGCCGTGTGGCAAGAGCTTTTACCTGAAGAAGATATTGTCTTAAACTGATGAAATTCTTATCATCTGAGGTGTAGTATTTGTAGCATTACCGTGTTTGAACGGTAATTGCTTATCTAGATCTGGTAAGTTAGTTTGCATCTGAACTTACCTTTGTGGCTGTTGGAGATGTCTGACAACATTGCATCTAGGTGTTTAGCGCTGTCGCCTTTCAGCACTTGGCTTCCGGATTCAGTTTGCACCAGAAACACTGCACATGTGGCGTTTGTATGTCTTCCCCAAGTGCTCTGATTTTATTCCCCAAAATAAAAATGTAAAAGTGTGATTGGCCGATCAGTATTTGTACACTTGTCCTGACATTAGCCTGCAAGCACCTTCAGAAGAAGAGGCTAATACTAATGTGAATCGTTTTATGTACATTGTATGGTTCCATATGATGTGTACAAAGGACTTTATCCACTGCCTTTTCATAGTGGCTTTTGGAATGTTTTGTGATTCAATCTTTTCCTAGTTATATGTTTCATTATTATGGGATTTTGTAAAGGAACTGCATTATAGGGTGAAGCTAGAAGCTTACTTATGCTTCCAATATGGAAACCTTTCCTGTTGCTTAGTAGTTGCAGATCACGCAATGTATTTTCCGCCAAAGAGATCGCTCTCATCTTGAAATGTATTGCAACTGTACTATCTTCCTTTAATATTGTAAGTGCTGCACACTCTGTTGATAGTATATAAATCTTGTATAATAATACTAACCTAAAGTGCTAACCTAAGGTGTTTCTTGTTGTTTATTTTATATTGAAGAAATGAAAAAGGTTAATAAACGCTATTTAAATTTCTACTTCCTAGAAATCCACAGTCAA